AAATCTGATCCATATTTGATTGTATCATTGGGTAAATGTGTTATTAATGATCGTGATGATTATAAACCGAAAACATTAAATCCGGTATTTGGAAAATATTATGAATTTGTAGCACATTTACCAATGGATTCTTTACTTAGTATACAGGTGAACTGATGTGAATTATTCATTATTATTATTATTTACATTTGTGTACTATGGTTATTGTTTATAAGTCTTGCTACCGATATACATAAACTGTGGCTCTAGCCAACTTCGATCACTCCAACTACTTCTACACTCTAGCTGGAACATTAGAAAAGGGGCATGAATTTCGAGTAAAAGCTTTACTTCAAGGTTAGTTGATGTATAGAAGAACGAGGGTATTTATAAAGTTACACACGATCTTAAGCTTCTGATAATTTCTAGGACCATACTTGATATGGTAGTATTAAGGGTAAATAACCAATCGAAATCGTGGCATGTGATTCCGTATTTTCTAGAGATTTCTGAGAAGATTCTATTCAACATTGATTGAATAAACCATTCCCTGGCGTTTTTCCTCGTTTAAGGATTTGAACAAAAGGATATTTTGGGACACCCCCAACAACCACGATTATTGATTATAATACTCTGTATAACAAGTTTAGATTTTTAAGTTGCTATGAAGCATTTATTGTTTCCTGTTTTAGTGAAAATGCCCTCTGTGAGCTAGGTAGTTTAATCTTAGAGCTTTCATTGTCTTTCTAGACAGCATTATCAACTCAAACGTTTGCTCCAAATGATCAGCAACTTATTCGCTTGAAATATGTTTCCTTTTTTTAAGGATAGACTTTAATAAGAGATCATTTTAAAATAAGATCCACCTTTCTTTCTACTTCAATTCATTCAATCTACAATTCATGTTGATCGAAACTTATGACAAATGTTTTCTTTTTGTTCTTGACTAAGATGATGGATCATGAAAGAGTTGGAGCAGATACATTGATTGGAGAAACACATATTGATATTGAAAATCGTTTCCATAGTGCTCATCGTGCTACTTGTGGATTAATGCCTAAATATTATGCGTAAGTTCTCTTTCTTTTACAAATATTAGTTTTTATTTATAATGTGATATAAACTTATTATTAGTTTAACAATGATTTATTATCAGAAAGGGGGTTTTATGGAGAGTGTAGTAATTTAATATTTGAATTTATGAGTCGATTAAAACTAGACCGCCATGGAAAACATGGGAGTACTGGAAGGTCGTTTCGTCCTTAGTATGGGGCTCTTCAACGAGACCAAGGGTCCTAGGTACGAATTCCGCGAGTGGGATCATGAATGTTTACTGATGAAGTGTTCCATAGTAGGACGAAACGGTTGTCCGGTACTTCCACGTTTTCCATGATGATCTAGATTTAATTGACTCATGAATTCAGGTATTAAATAATTAATTAATTACTCTTTAACTTTCTACAATTAATTAAAATAACCCATTTTGTCATTGAGTAAAAATGGATAGAATTCAACAAAGAAAACTCTCATTTTGATGAAATCATTTAGTTAAGCTGTACATTAGTATTTATTGTTGTAGGGTTAATATATGAGTCTATAGAAGGATAGAAAAGATTGCATGATAAGTTGGCTCGAGACTCCAATTATCAAAAAAGTTTACGTAATGATCGAGGGGTTAAAGAAAAATGGAAGGATGAAAATAATCTACGGGTCAGAATTATGAAAGATAATGTCCACTTGACAGATTTGGAGAAAAATGCAGAACATAAAGTCATAATAATAATTAAATTTGGTTTAAGGTTACAAAACAATAATTTAAAATAAAGCAAGACCAAGGCATACTACAGAAGAGAATTAGGGCCAAGGAAGTATGAGAGGTTGTAAATAATTCGGGATTGAATTGGTGGATCGCCAACGCCTCAGCAGTGCATAAGTTTTTGATTCGACCTTCATTCTATCTAGTTCCTTTGGTTGCGTAGATTATTTTGAAGGAAGACTCCTTTGGAACGATGTATTCAGAGTTGATTAGATGCTCTTGTACTGAACTGGTAACTGTTTTGTATTCTCCTTTAAAAAGCCATGCGAGGTAGTGTTTGGAGATGCGTTTAGGTGATGAATAAATAGCTGATATCACTACTTCTCAAACAAAATTATAGTAATCTGTTACTGAACTCCACATATTTATTAACTACAATAACTGTAACAATAAAAACATTGATAAGAACAATAATAGTAACAACAATCGCTCCATTCAGTATTTTATCTCTAGTACAATGTGGAATTCTCAGCATAATTACATTATAACATGCACATAGTGAAGATCTATTTCTAAATGGGAGTTGGGAAAACACAACACTGGTCGCCATTTAGTGATTTCTGGTTAGCGTTTTTTAGAGAGTTAGTTTTCTAGGGGATGGGGTTGTTAACCCCAGGACCAACCTTCCTCTTTTATCCGAGTTTAGGACCGGCAGTAGCCTCCAGAGGGGCTCCAGGCGGAGTTCATTTAGTGATTAGTCAAATGTAAATATTTTATTTTAACAGAAGGTTTATTACTTCCGGAATAGCTGGGTGATGAAATTTCAGATTGTGAAGTTGGGTAATATGAGTTCGAATCTCACGTGTACTTACTGGCGAATATCGACTAGCACGAAACCCACTTCCAGGATTTCCTACAGACTACCTCCAAACACTGAACATCATTCACATCAAATACGCTGTCTAATATGTATAAATAATCTCACCCAGTTCATACTTATGAGACTCAAGATTCCTAGAAAATACAGTATTATTATGAAAATAAAATGCTAAGAATTTACCGATTTCGACCGCTAGTGTTTCTCACTGACATTAACGCTTTAAAAAACACAATGAAGACGTAGGTACGTAATTCACTTGATTATTAAAGAGTAACACATCAAGTTAGACTAATGTTATATGGTTGTGTTAGGCTGTAAGGGTTACATTTTGAAATTATACATATCAGTGATGACAGACAACGCCTTCACGTGAACGACACATTCAAAAACCAATAGACGCAAACCACAGACTTCCTCTATCTTAAGATCATTTACTGTTTCCGACAAATTCGGACGAAACTACTGACCTTTTCCAGTCGTTAATACATCAGACCTAATCTATTAGTGAGGTTTAAATCAAAAATCAGTGGTTCACAATAAACTCTTCAAATTTTTTGTGATACCTTACTTTATACTATTCCTTGAAAATTTCAGTCATGGCTATTGTCAATGGAAAGACAGTCAACAACCAACGGAAATATTAGCTAAGCTATGTGAAAAATATGGTATTGAGCAGCCTGTTTATAATATATTGGAGAATAAAATCACCATAGGCAATGAGTCGTTTTTTGCTAATACAGAAATCCGAAATGAAACTGGTAGGTTGTAAATTATTTTAGCTTCAAATTTTATGTTACTAACAAGTAGTGTTAAGGTAATCGTAACTACTTAGAAATGAATAATCCGTGTTCAATGGTTAAAATGGCGAAAATAATTGAGAAAACGGTTATGGTCTACAAGTGTGTTTTTAAACTAGTTGCTGATAAACCCATTATTACAATACAATCATTTAGTAAAGTTAATATTGGCAATAACATGGCTCCCATCCTATCCCATTACAAAATACAGTCTATCAACCAACTAATGAATGACATAGTGCAATTACCTCAATGAGAAATTAGAAACGTTTACTCAAGTAACTTCAAATTTTCATTCGAAATCTTTACATGACTGCTGACGGTTGACTAGTGTTGGCCTTGAGGCTTAGAAAAATCTGAGTAGTGGTCAATGCTATTTCACTGACCTAACAGTAAACATTGAAATTGGTAGAAATAATTGCGAGAAAAGAAAACAGAGACAGAGACCACAAAACAATAACAGCGATTATTACTATGATAAGTTTATCGTTATACATGTACCAGGTTGTGTTGTATGTTCGACTGTTTTTAGTTCATCGGGAACGGTGTCAGCGTTAAATATCTCCTGGAAAGGAAATTGAATGACGAGGCTCAGGAATAATGATGACTAAACACTTTAACATTCCTATAATTTCATTAGTGGAATGAGATATATTAAAAGGCGTAAAGACGTTTAAGATAGTTTTAGATCCTACGTAGTATACTTCTGCTTGTCAATATATATATTACGTTGATCATTGTAAAATAACATTAATAGGGTTTTAATTGTTTAGTCTATGACGACCACTTTTTACGTAAAAATTCCTCGTGGATTCTCGTTAACACCTGGAACCTCGCATATAACTCATCCGCGTTACTTATGAATTACGGCCATAACTACATACTAAGTGTGTTAATTTATGACTCCATTCATGTGATGTTTAAATACTAAAAACTCATGATGTAAACGAATACTAAGGGAGAGAAAGCCATTTTATTGCTTAGTACTTTGGTAAAATGTGAAAACCCTACATTAAATATTTTATTCGCACATCTTCCATCAATTGCGTTTTACATCTTTCATAATTCTTCCAATTTCCACTTGCTTCATGCTTTCCTTACTGTTTTCTTCAGTTCAATCTTCTCAACCTTCTTTTAACAGGTATTTCATATATGGTTGGTGTTACATACTGCTTATGTATGTCGATATAAGTAGTACATACCACAATGATAATGACTAGGGAAATTTTTAAACTGCAAATACTTTTAATTAACTGATGAGAAAATGGAAACACTAAGTTATATATTCACACTAATTACAATACACAAACCGAGCTTTATAAAAAATTGTCAATTTTTATCAAAATTTGACGGACAGTTATCAAAATTCATCATAATTTATGGATCTTTCCAAAATGCTCAAAGAAGACAGTTAACACACTGACTATTGGAATTTAATGAAACTTATTAAGCAAAAATGGATATTAACTAGCAGTGGAATCCATGACTTGCATTTCATTCTATTTGGGACTAGTCAACTGGATGAACCTGCATACCACAGTTGATATTCACCTCGCGGCTCGAACCCAATACCATTCGTTTCAAATGCCATCACGTTATCCACATAGCTACAGAGTTCTGATACCCACATGCCAAAAAGAGACTGATCAATTGCAATCTTAAATAACATTGGGAAAGTACAAGTAAAACAACACCAAGTCAACTTTTTACAGAAAAACGGTCAGCCAGGTCAAAAATGAATACTTACTTACTTACTTACTTACGCCTGTTACTCCCAATGGAGCATAGGCCGCCGACCAGCATTCTACATCCCACTCTGTCCTATGCCTTCCTTTCTAGTTTTATCCAATTCTTGTTCATTCTTCTCATGCCTGCCTCCATTTCTCAAAGTAATGTGTTCTTTGGTATTCCTCTTCTCCTTTGAAATTGAGGATTCCATGTGAGGGCTTGTCTTGTGACGCAGTTGGGTGCTTTCCTCGATGTGTCCTACCCACTTCCAGCCACTCTTCCTGATTTCTTCATCCACTGGGATCTGGTTTGTTCTCTCCCACAGTAGGTTGTTGCTGATAGTGTTTGGCCAACGGATCTGAAGTATTTTGCGTACACAACTGTTAATAAACACCTATATCTTCTGGACGATGGCTTTCGTAGTTCTCCAAGTTTCCGCCACATACAGTAGAATTGTTTTGATATTTGTATTGAAAATTCTGACCTTGGTGTTGGTTGACAGTTGTTTTGAGTTCCAGATGTTAATCATTTGTAAATATACTGCTCTTGCTTTACCGATCCGCACTTTCACATCTGCATCAGACCCACCATGTTCATCAATGATGCTGCCCAAATATGTAGAGGTTTTTACATCTTCCAAATCTTTTCCATCAATTGTCACTGGATTGGTGCATGCTGTATTATATCGGAGAATCTTACTTTTCCCTTTGTTTATATTGAAACCTACTGCTGCTGAGGCTGGTGCTACACTGGTCGTTTTCTCCTGCATTTGTTGTTGAATAACTAGACAGACATTTTGTCAAGTTTCATGTATGGATTAATCTCTTTCTTAATGCAGTTGAAGAACACTTAAATTATGTCTGTCTATTTAACTTTATTTATAAAAGAATCCAACTACTGCGTATCATTTAGACTAACGATTTATTTTTTTCATTTTACTAAAAACATTACGTAATTTAATAGTTTGCAACTAGAGTGTACTCTATACTACTTATCACCTTTGATAATTCTCTAATTAAGTCTATTTTCCTTAATTTTATAGGTATAACAGTTAAATCAGTAGAACCATTGGCCTTAGAAGCATTACATAATTGGTCATTGATTACAAACAAAGATGTGAAATTAGTTAGTGAACATGTGGAAACACGTTCTTTAAAACATCCCGATAATCCAGGTTTAATTCAAGGTCGACTACAAATGTGGATTGATATGTTTGAAAGAGAAGTTGCTGTTCCACCACCGGCTATAAATATTTCACCACGTGTACCAGCTGGATATGAATTACGTGTTATTGTGTGGAATACAGCTGATGTAAATTATTTTATATTAGTTAATTAAACTAAGATAATATTTATTAATATCGTTTTAAATAGTTACACTGATGTTTAATGACAACATGGCCTATGACTATAGTAGCATGTTTCGTAATGAAATGATTTAGAGTATAGCACATTTATTGGTAATAAACACTCTGACATCATGTCCAGTATCGAAAAGTTACGATAGATAGAGACTATGGATGAGATGAATTGATTATTTCATTTTTTTTTCTCATATATGTGGATGTAAATAAAACAGACATAAATGAACATAAACAAAGTTTCATGGTGGTAGAGAAGATTTGTAGCTCAGGTGGGTGATTTTGATGGAGTTTTGTTCTCTGAGCTGGATGGTTTGTTCGTGGAGCTTTCATCATTATTCTAATTGATTAACTAATCAGGATCGAGGTCTACAGGACAAGGTGTGAGCCATATGTGGAGAAATTGGAACACTTCACTTCTACCTGAAGTTTGTGCTGATGATGTCGTTCAGAAGCTCGACGACCAAACCATCCAGCTCAGAGAATAAAACTCCATCAAAAGGTTTCATAGTTTAATTCACGAAATGACCTTAGACAGCCATTGGAAACTATCACCAAACAGCCGTTCCGTTCTAATATTAGACACCACCCATTCACGGAGTCACCGGGGATTCTAATCCAGGGCATCCAGGTCTCACTGCGAGTGCTTAACCTCCAAACTATTGAGCCTTCACTCAATAGTTCACAGGTGTAACTTCAAGCAGCTTGAGATATTTCAAAACTTCATCCCAATACCTTAACTGGGTAAATGAGTGATGCCTGATAAACTTTAAGCACATAATTATTATTAGTGCCATATGTTTATGGAGACAGGTGAGTTTCGTAGTTTACAACGTTTGCCACGAATTACCGCTATTTTAATGCTCATTTTTTTAGATTTCGAACTACTTGTTATGTTGTAACATCGATTCAAATTTCAATTCAATTTAAGATGGATTGTATTATCTCATTGTTGATATTTGAACTGGAAGTAGATGAGTCTTGTGCAGATTGCCTCGATATATCCATTTTTGAATCCAGATACATCCAGCTGACAAGTCCCGAATAGGATGAAACGCATATCCTAGTTCCCACTGCTAACCACATTTCATATATTATGCCTGTTGAAATTGTTTTGCTACACTTACTATTGTTATATTTGTCATGTTAATATCGATTTGTACCTTCCACTTATTGTGGTATAATAATTACTGTACGGTTTGCAACGATTACTGTATTTCATCGTTTGTATTATAGACTGATTTGATTGTTTGAGGTTCGACATTAACACTATTAGATGCCGGCTCAGTGGTCCAGTGGGTTAAGCGTTCGCGCGCGAGACTGAAGGCCCTGGGTTCAAAAAACGCGAGCGGAATCGTAGATGGGCACTGCTGAGGAGTCTCACAGTAGGACGAAACAGTCGTCCAGTGCTTTCAGGTTTTCAATGGTGGTCTACCACCCATCAGTTCATGATTTCAATCAAAGACTGATTTTAGTAAGATAATCACTAAAAACGAAGAAATACACTGAATAGCCATTTCATCCTAGTATGGAACTCATCAACAATACTTACTGATGACCGCATCTGAGATCGGACTCGGGACTTTAAGGTCTCTCTTCTAGCGCCTCATGTTTAAATCACTGAATCAAGATGATTAGTTATACAACGTTTCATTATTATCATAAATTAATAAATTGACTTGATTGCTTTATATTGTTGTCATATTATCCATAAAAATACTTCTAAATGTAAGCCTGATGAAAATTCAATTAAAAACAATATTTCTCATTTGTGTGTTCATCTCATATTCTCTAAGTTAAGAATGGAATTTTTCCTCAAATTTTATTGCATCTTTGCTTTGGTTTTTTTTTCTTCAAAACTTCCAGGTAAAACTTACTGACACTTCATTATTCTCTTCTGAAAGAAGTTCTGATATTTATGTTAAAGGATGGGTAAAAGGTGTTGGAATTGATGATCAAAAAACTGATGTTCATTATAGGTTAGTGGAATATTTATAGATAGTTGAGTATTCTTATGTTGCCTGTATCACTACTTGGTACTTGGGGTTTTTACATTCTCGATATGTTAAGAGACTTCAATTCTCTAAACAGTCAAACTCAGAAAAATAACAGAGGTACACTGTTGGTGATTATAAATTCTTTTATGATGTCATTTCATAACTCAGTGAGACTATAATTTATAGACGACTTTTGAGCGACACTGAAATAATCTTGAGAGTGGACATTAACTGGTTAGGACTAAATGAGAGTTAAAAATTAAATTTAGGATTTACACCGCGAACTGACGTCAAATATAATGCCAAAACTCTATTTAGCTAAATGTATGGATGAATTTCGCGCCAAAATTCATGACTCGTTATCATATATCTGATTGGTTCGTTCATAAATTATAATTTCGCCCATAACTCCATCTGTACAAGTAAAATATGAACTAAGATCATTATATCTGACATTTCAGCATAAACATTTGTGACAATCTTTGATTGAAAAGTATGTTAGACATTTATAGTTGATTGTCAGTATCTGAAGAAATTACCAAAGATAGTGAACTTAAAGAAAGCTTCGAATTTAGAGTACACAAAGCTACCATGGAAGAACAGTTTGATAAGTGCCCTATTGATGAAAATGTAAGATTATGACCTTCTGTGTTCGATTGCGCTACACTATTCACTCACCTCCTATACTCTTGCTCAACTAGTAACTCAAGAGAAAGGACTCATAATTGATTAGAATGAAAAACTGAACGAATAATGTACAGGAATCACAGCTATTCACACATTTATTCACTTGTAACTGGTTAACGTATATATGGTCTGTGACCATGACTAAATGTATAATCGATTTTCTTAAATGATCTACCACCTTGTTTGTGATATCTCACCTACCGTTTGACCTTGAGGCCGGATATGAGGTATTTAGCTTTTACACATACATATGATATGTTTAGAATCTTTCAGCCTATCATACAAAAATTGATTGGCGAAATGGTAACAGAGACAGTTTTGTATATTTTACGGTTACTTTACTTTATGATTTGATTGGAACTAATATTGTTATATGTTGTGAGACAGTTGGACTTTAGACTTAAATATATAAACATATTTAGATTCTTGTGAGAAATAATACTCCCCGTAGGTCAGTAACCGACCTTAGAATATTAAACAGTGAATTGAATATTCAACCAAGAGATATCATTTAAATGGTTAAGATCATGAGTCAGTTGGATCCAGACCACGATGGGAAACCTGGAAGCAGTGGACGGCCGTTTCGTCCTAGTGTGGGACTCCTCAGCAGTGCGCATCCACAACCTCGCCCCCTGCGAGATTCGAACCCAGGACCTAATGGTTTCGCGCGCGAGCATTTAACATATCATTTACATTAGAATACTCTATTATCAACACTAAGGACTAGACAGCATGATATCCGTTACTACTACGTAACCTAATATGTTATTCTTAGCTTATTTAATTCAAATTATTATTATGAACTGAAATTAGTTATATGACTATTGACCAGTGAGAAGTGATGTAAAACTATTTCACTCCCATTTTACACCTTTTTGGCCAGACTATAATTTATGGACAATCCAATCAGATATAAGGTAACAGGTCTTGGATTTTGATGTGAAATTCATTCATCCAATTGACTAAATAGCCTCTTGACATTTCAGCTGATGTCAGTTTGTGATAAAAACCCTAAATCTAATTTTCTTAACCCTAATTATCAACTGTAAATTATAATTCTAATCCATCGCACTGGTTTATAACTCTCATTTAATTCTCGTCACTGGGTGAACATTCTCAAGGTCAAAAATAGTCCATAAACTAATCTAACCGCTTTTTTGGTAAATAAAACGATTTAAAAACATAACTAGCATTATTATTGTTATTAGTGATGACGATGATGATACTATTGTGTAATTATCATTATGTAAATGTCATTCGAAGAAATAAATATATAGTACGAATTTTCAAAGTTGAATTCACTAGTCAATCTAAGTTAGACCACCATTGAGAACCTGGAAACAAAAGAAAGCCGTTTCTCCCTAGTATGGGACTCCTCAGCAGTGGGCACTCATGATCTTACACGCGGGACAAGCAAATTCAATTCTGAAAATACTACAATCTCCACAGACTCCCATACTCAAATAGTACGGAATAAAATAATACCACTGTTGTTGTTTTCTTCAGAACTTTAAAATTACCTCAATTCGATCCTAAGTAACATCTGTGACTACCAAACCATGACGAAATGACTATCAAACGCTTCCTGTTTTTCAATGGTTTCTCAATGATTTCATTTAGTAAATAAAACCATTGTAAATTTTAAGTTTACAATCAACCGTGTAAGTATAATTCTTAAGAGCATCAGTACAGTTTATGTCAGAATATGTTTAAAGGATATGGATGAATCAATTTCAGCTTACAGTTTAAATCACTCCTAACACATGCCTTTTCAAAAATCAAGGCATAAATCTGCTATATATTGTTTGACAGTTGATTCCTTCAAAAACTCAACTACAAATCTTCTATTCATTTCTTATCATCAACTTTGATTTTAGATCATTATCTGGTGAAGGAAATTTCAATTGGCGTTTTATATTTCCATTTGATTATATTAAAGCAGAAGATAGAATAACTTATCCAATTAAAGGAACATTCGATATTGAACCACATATGATTAAAGCTAATTGTGAATTGACATTACAAGTATGGGATGCTGATATTATTACAAGGGATAATTTTATTGGTAAGTTATTTCACAATGGATTTAATTTCATTTGCATTAGATCAAGTTTTGTAATGATAAAAGTATATTGGTAATCTAATGTAGTAAGAATCAGTAGTATGTACTACATATACGTTTGAAAACATGATTTTCAGGTGTTCTGACTTGCATATTATTTTTAAGCCAATAAGTGGAAACTCATGGTTTCACATCAACATTTACGGTTTATTTAGAAAATAATGAAATTCGCATCAAATGTTATCATTGAGTTTCTGTCTCATATTCAACTTAGTATGTTTTGTCCGCCTGGAGTCCCTCCGAGGGCTACTGTCGGTCCCAAGCCCTGATAAAGGAGGAGGGTTGGGCATGGGGATAGCGACCCCATCCCGTAGAAAACTAACTCGCTAAAAAAATGCTAAGCAAGTAATATTTTGTTCGACAAGGCCTTCAGCAGAAAGTTTAAGATATTCATATCAAATTTTGTCACTAGTAAAGACAATTTTATGGGAATGTTCTATGACGAATTATAAACTCAGATAAATTGTATACCAGTTCATTCAACGATCATTTTTACCTCAATTAAGCGTGGACCATTCAAACCGTCTGACATCGAGGGTAATATTTTTATATGTTAGGGTTTCCTGCCGATCGAGTCCATTTTGATATATAGTTATACATGGCAATGAATGAAATCTTATACTTATCACTTATTAAAACACTGTAAATATTAAATTCACCTGGTGTTGTTTTACTTGTATCTTCCCATTTAGAACTGCAACTGATCAGTCTCTTATTAGCATACATGCATCCTGTGCAGAATGTCTCGATATAGACTTAAGTCACAAGCTTTTTAATGGCTAGCAGTGGAATCCAGGACGCGCGTTTCGTCTCATTTGGGTGTCGTCAGCTAGATGTACCAGCATACCAGAGTTGACGTTCACCCCGGGACTCGAATCCAGTACCGTTCGGTTTAAACGCCATCGCATTATCCACATAGCTACTGAGTTCTGATAGCCACCTTCTTGTGCAATTGTAAATATTTCTGATTTATGGAGTACTGTAATCCATTATACATGACAGGATGCTTCATAATTCCTCATATTTATTTTGATAGAAGTACAAAGATCCAGAGGATTCGTTTGATAGATATAAAAGTTTTCGAAGAATTTCAACAATGAAATAGTGGACAAACTTTTCCGTTCGGATATAACTACTGTCGGGAAACTAACTTTAACTTTAAAACCCTTAAAAAAAGGGGAAGCATTCAATAACTTTTCATTTTATTTAGAGACATTTCAGTAGCTTACTCTCATAAAAGCTTAAACTCAAGACCATCATAATTTCATAGTGACTATAACGTCTATGAGCTAATAAGTCAATGTTTTATGACAAACTTCAACTAATTTAGATCATTCATGAACACGACTCAAGAGTTCCAAACTATTTAATTCTTGGTATTGAAAAGAACTATCATTATTCACTTCACAATGCTTATTCTGTTATGTCATATCAAGTATGTAGAACAGTCATTGGTTAACTTAATGAACAAACAACGTCATCATTTTGTTCAGACAATTAAAGACACTATCAAAATGCGTTTTGTGGAGATTTTAGAAATTTCACTGGTTGAAATCATGAGTCAATTGAAGCTAAACCACCATGGAAAACCTGGAAGTACTGGACGGCTGTTTCGTCCTAGTATGGGACTCCTCAGCAGTGCGCATCCACGATCCCGCCCCCCGCAAGATTCGAACCCAGAACCTATCAGTCTCGCGCCAGGCACGAGAATCTTTTCTCAATGAGTTCATTTTGGATTATATCATTTACTCAATCTGAAAGATCGTATTTACAGTTAATTTACAAATTAAATAATCCATTGAAAGATAGAAGAGACATTACATCATATTATGTGTCAAGGAAAGTTACGTAATATAAAAGAGAATCGAAGAGAGATAATAAGATGAAATCAAATGTGAGATGATCAATTGTTCACTTGACAAGTATGAGAAAGGCTAACATTCAATTAAAAACGTGAAAGTGATAATGACAAATAATTAACATTAAGAAGATTGAAAACATCAGGAAGATGTATTAAAATCAAATTACCGTTTATGCAAATTAACTGATAGGGTCATGGATGAATGATCGGAAGCATATATCTGCTTTGTATATACCGTTCAAGTTTAAAAAGATGGATTGTTAGGGCCCCATTTTACATTCATATAATTAAAAAGTATTGTCATATATACCGGTTCAGTGGTCTAGAGGTTAATCGTTCGCGCGCGAAACCGAAGGTCCTGAATTTGAGTCTTGTATGCTGGATTGTGGACGTTCACTGCCGATAACTCATGTGCTAGGACGAAACGGCCATCCAGTGCTGCATGTTTTCAATGGTGATCTAACTTAGATCGATTCATGATTTCAGTGAAAATTAAACAATATCCACACCCATATATTAAATATTATTAAATAATTTAGTTTCTAGTGGTTTGGATTATTTGTTTGTTAATATTTTGACTAAGGTTTGATCAGCCTTGGTTGGTATATTTGCATCATATGCCGATTTCCAACCGAGAATGATCATCATTCAAAATATCAACAACGAGACAATCCAAATCATTGCAAATTAAATCAAAATTCATAGTCTTTGCACAACTGAGCATTTATGTGGATTTAATACTTGAATGAATGAAGTGTTAGTGTTTGTAGCGAACGGTACTGGTTTCGGATCTCAGTGTGAATATCAACTCTGGTATGCAGGTATATCCAGATGACGAGTCTTATGTAGGACGAAATGCGTGTCCTAGATTCCACCTATTCTGTATTGTTGAATATTTTTAAATAACTAATTATTGGAGGTGGATATTCTTAAAACAAAATAAAAGAGTAATAAAGTGAACAATGGAAATGAAAGTGAATATAATATAATTGATAAGAAATAATTTCAAACAAGGAGATATCTAGCTAGAATAAATTGTAGAGACGTGAAAATTATATATCAATAAATGATTTCAATACCATGGAGCACAATACAAGTACCTATATTGACTATCTACAGTATCTGAATGAAGCAAGAACAAATGTTGATGTAGAATAGGGTGAATTCATAATATTTCGAGGTTTCTCGTCAGCTGCTTACAACCACTGATATGTAATAGAATTTTACATTGAGATAAGAAATAGTATGGAATAATTGATATAAGTGAATGTGAAAGATTGGAATGACCAAGTTATACAATAATAACTATATATATGTAAGAAGAGGTCAGAGGTTAATTGGTGTTAGAATTAAGGAAACAATTCAGGATGGGTGGTGTAGTGGTTGAGTGGGATTCACAAATTGTGTGATAATTTTAGAGGTAGTGAAGGATTCATGGAATTAAAACAATGATAAGATAGGTTATGTAATAATTGAATAGAGTTTGAAAAATTAACATGAATTAAGAGGGTAAGTGGGCGGAAATGTGTGGATGAAAAGTTGGTTTAAGAATTCGGTAATGGGGGGGGGAATATAACACAAAATGAATATTTTAAAAATAAATAAATAAAATAAAAATGGATTACCAGGGTAATAATAAGTTTACTACTGTCTCTTTTTGAATACATAAATCCGGTTTAAGTTTTTCTTATCGCGACCGCTTCAGTAAAAAAGGAGAGCAGTCGTATTTCTTTGTTTGCTGATAATTCTAAAAGCGTGCGGAATATCGATGGTATGCCCGGTGTCAAGTAAATGACAGGCTATTGTACTGTTGAGAGCCCTAGTTCCTCACAGCATCAAGTTTTTTGGAACATGCTCAGAAATGCGAAAATGTACTCTTCTCTCAGTTCTCACAATGTATGTGCTATGGCACGTACATATGAATTGGTAAATGCAGTTGGAACTACAGTATGTTTATTGAGTTCGATGATGCACCAATAGTGTGCTTGTAAAGAATGAGATTATCCTATGAAATCATTATATACGATTTTGAAGCAAAACCCTTGCTAGTTGATGTTTAGGTTTGAGGTTAGAATTTAGATTTTAGGTCTATGGTCAGTGTCAAGGTTAGAAGTTAGAAATAAGATAAATTTATGTGAATAAAGTTAATGGATTATATGGGTACGATTGAAAACTTCTTTTAAACAGAAGACGATCTGTAGTCATACGGGTGGAAATTTCACTGAAGTCTGTCCTTATTTCTAATTCAATAACGAGATACAGAATAATCTGTGTAAATCTATCACGTAAAAGCAAATAATTCATAAACCTAGAACTATCATAAATAATAACAGTTACGATAAATATAACCTTGATTTAAAGTTATGAACATCTAAAGATTAAATCGTTTAAGTGACTTCTTTCAAAAGATTTTTTGGTATTCTTTCACTAGGATCACTGACAATGCGTCTATCATCCTTGCCACGATGTGCGAAAACTGCAAAAAGTTGTGGGTTACATCAATTAGAACCAGATTGTCCAAGATTTTCAATGTTTAAGAATAGAACTGCACGTGGTTGGTGGCCAGTTACTGATGAAGAAGATGAAGAAATTATCGTTCAAGTAAGTGATTAGAATTTGTGTTTTGATTTATTCCCTAAGTTGTCACGTTTAGTAGGGTTGTATAAAGGAAATTTTGAATTTGTATGACAGTTTCTATCCCATATCAATTTACCAACGAGCTAGTTAGTTGACTTGTCTAATCTATAACTTAAAACAAGTACAAGGTACGATATTAAATAAGGAAAAATTATAAGTGCCTGAGCACCACTTAGACCTATTTTAAACTATACTACCTAAGATCTTCAATTACAGATAACGAACATTTCTCAGAATTAAATCAAGATGTTAGCACCTATTAGGACGGTTGAAAATAATAGTTAGTGACATAAATTTTTACGTTTTTTTCTTCTTTTATATGAGAGATTTTGACCCTGTAGGGATGGGAGATGTTTAGAATAGTTTGAATACGGAAAAATCTACACTTTTCCTTGAAAACATTAAAATCATGCATTTTTAAATTAAAACAAAATTCTTATAAGCAAAGATGGATAGTGACTAGCAGTGGAACCCAGGACGCTCGTTTCGTCCTATTTGGGACTTGTCAGCTGGATGTGCCTGTATCCCTTTAGACATTCGTCTTCTATTAATAAATCACTGAAATACGTTCATTGTTTACCTGAAACAATAGTTTGCCACTCATCTTAATACACCTGATAATCTCAACAACATACCTTTTTGATAAAACAGTTTGTTTGCAAGGGTTTGAGTTTCTCTGTTATTAATGTTAAGGACTGAAACTGACCACCCTCTACTGGTTTATATTCATCCTTAGAGGATTGTCTCGGTATAGTTAGTCATCCAGTCATAAGTTCTAGTTGAAGTTAGATAGTGCTTAAAAGTAGAATCTAGGATGCGCAGTTCATCATACTGGGGACTCGTCAGCTGGATCCACCTGCATCTAAGTGTTTATATTCATGCTGAGACTTTAACCTATTGCTTTTTACTTTGAACATTAATATGTTATCTAAATAGCTACCGAGTCCAAGTAGCCACCAGCTTCTACAACGAGTATGGGTTTTATCTGTAAATCTTCTTACTTTCCGGTTGTCGATATTGCTGGTACCGTTTTAATCAAACACCTTTCAATTTTTTCCAATGTATTACTTTAGGGTAAAGTTGAATGTCAGTTGGAAATGTTGAATAGTGCTGAAGCCGAAAGTAATCCTGCTGGCTTAGGTCGTGAAGAACCAAATGGACTGCCAAAACCAGAGTATGTTGAGTAATTTATTACAATTGTTTGCTGGCTTTCAATTGTCTATTGTCATTATTATGGATATATGTTTGTGTACGTGTGTGCAAGCCTTATCTATGATTTTTTGGTCAGTGATTAAGACTGGCTCACTTTCCTGATTAAGTTACAACAATAAGCAAATGAACAAAATGAAACTATGTCGAATGATTATTGACAAAGCTATTTATCAACTTGTAAATACTGATCTACGTCATGTTAGTCTAGTCCTTTACTACTGATTGAATTCTATCTACCAATTTCTAGTGAGTTGATGGTTGGAGGTAGTGGTCAGGAAATCTTGGATCTAGGCTTCTTGCTAGTTGGTACTCGTCTGCAACGCATGTAATATATCACCCACTGAAAAAGTGATTTATCGTGATCCAGTTGTCTATTATATAACGACATTATTGTTTCCCAGGCAGTAAACATTAGGTTTGATTCCTAATGAGTATATTTTTCTTGGTACTGGTATAGAATTTATCCGGTAACGGTTTAGAGGTTGATTGATTGGAAATGAAGAAAAATGACAAATAACAAATGATAAGTAGTCCTATGTATGGAAGCCTACAAGGTTTATGACAATAAATATAGATAAAACGTTTTCTTCATTTACCTTTAATCGTTAATTATGTTACTTAACACCACCAAGATGTAGGTTTTCCGATCTCTTCAACCATCTCCTGATATCATCCATTTTTCAATCATCTCAACTGGTGAATAATGTAGCATTTTGCTGAAACTATAATGTAACTTTCTGTGTTATCTATCTACTTCGTTCGATACTTTATTTCAATGTAGGTAGTGACAGAGATTTCATAGTATATTTTGATTGTCTACACACTAGGTATATCTTGACAACAGAATCTAAGGTCTGACTTTTTAATCTATAGTACCGTTATATACAACTAGCTATTTTAAGCCAAATGAAAATGGATTCATTTTAATGGTATTTTGATTCGCATTAACTAGTTCATAAGCACTTATAAAATGTTAATTGAATCGAAGGTATTTAACAAAAAACCCCAAACCTAGATTTCATGCTAGTTGACACTTATCAAGATGGTATTTGTACAATCTTTAAGGAGTTGATCTTTAAAATCGGGTTCATTGCCCCCAAATGCGATGGTATGGCCGAGAGTGGGCTGGGTTCGTCCTCCCTCTCGAAATGCTCTCACACGGCCACGCGTATACAGCCTCTGCCAGGGAAGTCCTACTCACTGCCTTCTCGTGGCGGGGGTGTTGTCTACGAAATCGAGAAGACGAAAAGCGAATGTCCGGCGCTTTAATCGGATCTCAAACCAATGGTGCACATGGGCTCCAGTATCCTGCGGGAACAAATGGCGTATGAACCAATCGTTGGTCACCGGCTACCATGACACTGCACCTCCTCACGATGCTCCACTGCCTTGTGGGTCAGACCTTTAGGTCAAAGGTTCGCTGTGTGGCTTCTAAGAAAACCACCTGCTTCGGTCTGGGCACCCGGGCAGTATCACAGCCCACACACACAAATATGGTGCGGCGCACATATATTTGGTGCCCTCTTGTACCAATATCTATGTGTTCAAATAAATAAATAAATAAAATAATCAAACTCATTATGATATTTAAAGAGATTATAAATTGTAGACGACTTTTGGTGGAGTTTTGTTCTCTGAACTGGATGGTTTGGTCGTGGAGCTTTCATCGTTCTTCTGAACGACATCATCAGCACAAACTTCAGAAAAACTGGAGGCCGTTTTACTCTAGTATGAGACTCCTCAGCAGTGCGCATCCACGATCCCAACCCATGAGATCCGAACACAGGAACTGTCGGTCTCGCACACCAACGCTTAACCTCTACACGGAATCCATCAGTTTTAATATCTAACTTCAACCAATCCACGAAATTGCGTCACCCTCCACCATTGTCTTCAGTCAATTTAATCCAGATTTTTTGGCGTTCGCGCGCGAGACCGATTGGTCCTGGGTTCGAATCTTATGAAGTGAGATCGTGAATGTACACTACTGAGGAGTCCTATACTGGGATGAAACGGTCGTCTGGTGCTTCCAACTTTTCCATGGTGATCTAGTTTCGATTGACTCATGAATTCAACTATTAAAATTCAATTAATCAGTAGATTGAATTGATCATTGAATTCGTCTTATGTAAAATTTAAAAATGATCGATCATTTAAAACAACTTCATACATAATTTAATTATCATGCACTAAACTTTCATTATATAATTCCAATCATCTCTATAATGAAGTGATGTATCTAATATAAAAATCTGTCTCTAACACATGTGTATACATGTATGACTTCATGATGTATTATTCATGCTATACAAATACTAATTTTAGTTAATATCAATCCATCTAAGTTAAATTTTTAAGTCACAAACAATTAAATGCACAACTATACACATTTGATTTGATGATTATATTACATTAAATATAGTTGCTGGTCTGCTGATTTATTAATGTATATGTATTACCATGGTAACATAAATAATTACCAATGTAAGTTATTTTAAATTATACAAATAATGATTACTATTATTATTAGGTTGATGGATGTTTTACAACGGTGGATCAATGTTTCATACAAATTTATTAGCATGTAGAAATTGTATTTTCAGTCTTATGGCAATTGATAGTCAATGTGGGATTAAAATCGACGTTAATCAATATCTTAGTTAGAGACGATATCGCTATATGTTCCAGTTGTAAATGACTATTTATATGATGGAAATGTTTACACAGACTGATTACTGAGTGGTAGACAATATCATATATTTAACGTAAGGATTTATCGAGATTGTTGGATTTTATGGCTTATGTAGCTAATCGACCTTAGTTAGACTGCCACTGGAAACCAAGGAGGATTGGATAATGGCCTTATATTGGTATAAGGCTATTCAGCAGTGTGCATTCGCAAACCTACTAAAAACTGATCCCAGGACTATCAGACCTAGAGACGAAAGCTACTTCTTTAAATCACTGAGTTAGGATCCAATACCACACTCGAATCTCACTAGTTACGACTTGTCAAAAAAACTCCGGCAATTTGTAAGTACATGATTAATTTTAGCATATGAATTTGTGAAGAATATTGAATCTTATAGTTTAAATAACAAACTTATCTTCAGTGACCTGCTCATCGATATGAACTGTATGAGAGTTTTACACCGAGAAAAAGCAGCTGTTCAGGGTTCCCCGATTTTCAGTGGCTATCTAACTACTCTGAAGAAGTGGCTTACATAAATCGACAAAACCTTAGAAATACATTTTTCTACTTATTGGGACATCACAAAAATATATTTATCATCAGCTAATGTCAATGCGTAATGTAAACTGTAAGATTTATATCACTTCTAACATTAAGTGAATTATACGGATAGAACTTTGAAGAAATATGTTTATTTATAATTGAGCATCGGAATTAGTCACATGAAGTCAAAAATACTGATAATAAATCTTTTAAATATTAAAATACAATTACCAACCCTAACCTGGAAGCACTGGATGAACTCCACAGGTGTGAGTATTTGTAGTAAGCTCATTCAACTACTGTATTATTTATCTGCTCACTGTAATATAGACACTCAACCCACTATGTAATTTTCTGTGTGTCTGATTGAGCACATGGTCGCACATCAATCTTTAATCTATTCTCCCATTGGTTGTAACACACAGACGATCAACAATTTATCCACAACCAATTAACACTTATAAATATATATGGATTTTTAACACACACACAAACACATACTCATTTGGTTTCCCTGTGTGCTTGCTTCCTGTACGCTTGCGGATTTTACCAATCTTTAACAATAAACTATCTCTATAAACTGGTGTTCAGGCTTTTGAATAATCTCGAGTAAATCCATAATTCTACTAGGAGATTTAGCCTGAATTAAATACTCAGTTAACGGGATACTATTTATTGGAGTCAGATATAGGGGAAATTAGCCTCTACATATTCACGATCCTGTTAATCAAAGCACATGAAATACTTATACTGGTCTAGCCAATCAATATGACTCAACCAATCTAAAACTTTTCTTACAACTTTGATTTTTCTCTCTCGCTCGTAAATCCCATCACGAACGACTAGTCGTTTAAAATCACTGAAAATCAAATACTTTTGGTGAATCATCTTCACTAATGAATCCTCATTGTTATTTAATAAACTACATTGAATCATTGATGCTTATAGCTGACCGTCTAGTAGGCACCATGATCTTTAACAAGCACACATCTAGATCGTTCAATCAATATACATAGAATTCGTCGACCAAAAATAAAAAATATACCAGACGACTAAATTGCTTAACATAGTAACTGATGTCGCTTCCTATTGTTCATACTCGACACTAACTTCTAGTCTGAGCCATGTTGGGAGGTGCAGACTACTTGATTGGGGTCCGTGTGACTATCGTAACCAATGGTTAGAGACTCTTGGTGACATGGCTCAGAATCGATCACAATGGCGTCGGTGTATACACTCTCTGTCTTCCCTTAAACTAAGAGATTAAAATCGCTTCATATCTTTCTTTCTACGAACTAATTCTCTCTTCCTGTACTATATCCTTATATGCAATCTTTCTTTTATATATTACCACAACTTAATTAACTACTTTCATGAATCCGGTGTCCATCTTGTTGTGCTAATGAGGTACGGCAACTTGGACCGATGCATATATGTGCCTGGTCCTACGTTGTAGCTGACTGACTGACTCATACCCTAACTACAAAAATACATAATATTTGACAAGTGAAAAAAATTTCATATCGAATATTTTCAAATTCTTTTTTAAAACGTGTTACCATATTGATGACAAGATGTTGATCATTTTAATTGTATCCATGCAAACAATAGTGATAGGGATAATAGTCCTATTTGTTTCACGAAATCGTCTATCTTTTAAGTTCTAGTTTATTGCCAAATTTATGACATCCACAATTGAATTATAGAATGATGCATGTGAATTTTTTTTTCAAAATATTATAAACCGGTTTAATTATCTAACTACTTCTGAATAGGGTAAAATGTTTTGATTTAATTAATTAATTTTCGAATATAATTAATGGTACCTCTACCACTACGGGATTCGAATCGACAACTGCATCTCTGTGCTAATTTGGTATGGCAACTCAAACTGATGTACGTACGTACGAAGTTCTAAGTTGTTACTGACTGACTGATATGGAATTTCATCTTAGTGATTTAAAAATTAAGCGTCTATACGTGAGACTAAAGGTTATGGGTTTGAACTCTTGTGGGATTGTGAATGACTAATGGTAAATAGTCTTGTACTAAACTGGAACAGTTTTTTCTAGTTTTCAGTGTATTCATAATTTAGGTCTGATCATGGTATTCAATTTGTATTGATTTTGACAAAATTAAATATTAGTCATTGCTTTCATTTTATTTTATATATAGTCGACCAGATGCATCATTTATGAAATTCCTTGGACCATTGAATACTCTTCGTTACTTAGTCAAATATCGTTTAAAGTGGATATTGATCAAAATCTTTGTCATATTCTTGGTTTGTTTAATTGTCTTCTTATTTCTATACAGTTTCCCTGGTGCTATTGTTCAAAAAATGGTTAATGGTTAATTATACACACATACACAGATACATATATACAATATAATTCAGTTGGAAATAAATGACTTCGAAACTCACTGATTGATTTTCCCTTATTTAGGTATTATTGATTTATTTCTTAACTGAGACAAACAATACACAAACATTATACAGTATATGATTATAATAGGCATGTATAAAATATAACGTTGATTTAGATGACATCTGAGTGATGCATATTTACAGTTCATATAACGAATGACAATGACTATGAACTGTAGTGATAGATGAATGAATCAATGTTATTTTAAACATTTTATTTAAATACAAATATTGCATAATTAAAATTTAATGTTTATTATCACTTAGTTACGCCTCTTACCCTCTAATGGGAGAGAAAAGGCCGACCACTAGCATTTTCCAGACAACTCTGTCCTTGATAATCCTTTCCAGTTGCTATTCATTCTTTCCATATCTGCTTAGAATTCCCAACGTAATGTGTTCTTACTTATTCCTCTTCTCAGTTTCCATTCATGATTCCAAGTTAGTGAATACTTCGTGATGCAGTTTGATGGTGTCAACAATGTATCTCTTATCCACCTTCCAGAGTCTTTTCCTAATTTCCTCTTCAATTGGAAGCCGGTCTGTCCTCTCACACAGTGGGTTGTCGCTGATAGTATCAGGTCAATCAACATTGAGTACATTGTGTAGATAATCATTTATAAATACTTGTACATCTTTGATGATGGTTTTGGTGGCTTTCCAAGTTTCAGCCCAGTACAGTAGAACTATCTTGTCTTGCCAACCCTCGCCTTTACGTCTGCATAGGATGCTTCTTGTTCATCAATGATGCTGCTGTCCAGATATCTGGAACATCCCACATCTCCCAGAGTTTCTCCATCAAGTGTGATTGAGTTGATGTTCTCCGTGTTGTATTTGAGGATCTTGGCTCTTGCCTTATGTATGTTGAGGCTTAGTGATGCAGAAGCTGCTGCTACACTAGTTGTCATCACCTGCATATCTTGGTGTGTGTGTGTGTGTGATAGAAGAGCTAGGTGATCTGCGAGGTTCAAATAGTTTAGTTGCATCTAACTTGTTCATTGTATTGCCGTAGGAAACAACTTCGCTAAAAAAATACGCTAACCAAAATAGACTCATGATTTCAACCTGTAAAAATCTCCATAAAACCCATTCTGATAAAACAATATTAATCCATTATTTATGTATTAATAATAGAAAGATTTTTAACAGTTGAATTCATGAGTCCATGAAAGCTAGACAACCATGGAAAAAATGGAGGCCGTTTTACTCTAGCATGAGACTCCTCAGCAGTGAGCATCCACGATCCCAACCCATGAGATCCGAACACAGGAACTGTCGGTCTCGCACACCAACGCTTAACCTCTACACGGAATCCATCAGTGTTAATATCTAACTTCAACCAATCCACGAAATTGCCCCACTGTTGTAGATGCGGAGGAATAGACCAATAATTATCACATTAGGTCCAATGGTGTCCTTGGACTTTAAATGGACATTTCCTATTGGTCGATATCTGTTCACTTGTTGAATATTGTACAAAATGTTGTTTTCTATTTTATGGTACGATGTGGTATGCTTGATTGGTATATAAACAGAGTATGTTTGAAGTATAATGATTCATATCTCAGGTTGTGACTTGTGTTCTGGACTCAACTGACTGGGCTAGATAGGGAAGCGAGACCAATCGAGACTCTAGGCCGTCCGTACGTGTTTACGTGTCACTGTAATCGATCGATAAGTACTTACTTACTTACTTACTTACGCCTGTTACTCCTCGTGAAGGAGCATAGGCCGCTCACCAGCGTTCTCCATCCAACCCTGTCCTGGGCAATCCTTTCTAGCTCCGTCCAGTTGTAATTCATCCTTTTCATATCTGCTTCTATTATCCGACGCAATGTGTTCTTTGGCCTTCCTCTTTTTCGCTTCCCTTCAGGATTCCATGTTAGGGCTTGCCTCGTGATGCAGTTCGACGATTTGCGTAATGTATGTCCTATCCATTTCCATCGTCTTTTCCTAATTTCTTCTTCAGCTGGAAGTTGGTTTGTTCTCTCCCACAGAAGGCTATTGCTGATGGTATCCGGCCAATGGATGTTGAGTATCTTGCGAAGACAGCTATTTATAAATACTTGTACTTTCTTGATTGTGGTTGTTGTAGTTCTCCAGGTTTCAGCTCCATACAGTAGAACTGCCTTGACGTTCGTATTGAAGATTCTCACTTTGATATTGGTTGAAAGTTGTTTTGAGTTCCATATGTTCTTCAACTGTAGGAACGCGGCCCTTGCTTTGCCGATCCTCGCCTTTACGTCTGCATCTGAGCCTCCTTGTTCATCGATGATGCTTCCCAGATATGTGAAGGATTCTACATCTTCCAGAGTTTCGCCATCAAGTGTGATTGGATTGCTGTTCTCCGCTTTGAATTTGAGGACCTTAGTTTTCCCTTTGTGTATGCTGAGGCCTACTGATGCAGAGACTGCCGCTACACTGGCTGTCTTCATCTGCATCTGTTCGTGTGTACGTGATAGGAGGGCTAGGTCATCTGCGAAGTCCAAATCGTCTAATTGATTCTGAGCTGTCCATTGTATTCCGTGTTTTTCTTCAGATGTTGAGGTCTTCATAATCCAGTCGACCACCAGGAGAAAAAGGAAGGGAGAGAGTAAACAGCCTTGTCTGACTCCGGTCCTTACTTGGAATGCATCTGTCAGCTGTCCTCCATGCACTACTTTGCACTGTAGTCCGTCGTATGAGTTTCGGATTATATTGACAATCTTCTCAGGAATTCCGTAGTGTCGAAGAAGTTTCCATAACGTCCTCCTGTCTACACTGTCGAATGCCTTTTCATAATCAATGAAGTTGATGTATAATGATGAGTTCCACTCAACTGATTGTTCGACGATGATCCGTAGTGTTGCAATTTGGTCTGTGCACGACCGATCCTTACGGAATCCAGCTTGTTGATCTCGAAGTTGGGCGTCTACTGCATCCTTCATCCGGTTCAGCAACAATCTGTTGAAGACTTTCCCTGGTATTGACAGTAGTGTTATGCCTCTGTAGTTTTCACATTTGCTCAGATCTCCTTTCTTTGGAATCTTGACGAGGTGTCCTTCTTTCCAGTCCATCGGCACTTGTTCCTCCTCCCAAATCTTTTTGAATAGAAGATAAAGCATGCTTGTGGTTGTTTCGATGTCTGATTTCAGTGCTTCAGCTGGTATGTTGTCGGGTCCCGCTGCTTTCCCGTTCTTGATTTGTCTGACGGCCATTCTAATTTCTTCCGTAGTTGGTGGATTGACATTTATAGGAAGATCTATGTGTGCTGCTTCGATGTTCGGTGGATTCATTGGAGCCGGCCTATTCAGGAGCTCTTCGAAGTATTCTACCCATCTGTTACGTTGTTGTTGAATTTCGGTGATTGGCTTGCCTTCTTTGTCTTTGACCGGCCTCTCTGGTTTACTGTATTTCCCTGATAGTTTCCTCGTTGTATCGTAAAGCTGTTTCATGTTTCCTTCTCTAGCAGCTTTTTCTGCCGTCGTTGCTAGTTCTTCCACGTATTTCTTCTTGTCGGCTCTAATGCTCCTCTTCACTTGTTTGTTTGCTTCTATGTATTCAGCTTGTGCTCTATAATTTTCCAGTCAAGGACACAACAATTAGCACAGGGTAAAAATCGACCGCAACTTAAAGCCATAACACCCACCCTCCACCATTGTCTTCAGTCAGTTACTATCTCACAACAGACCTGGTTAAATTCCACTCGTCACGGCTTATTACTAAATCTCAAGGAAATACCTTTTCGAGACAGTCACTAGTGAGCATATGATGATTATTGTCAGAAAGGGGTCTTATGGAGATTGTAGTAATTTACTAGTTGAATTTATGAGTTAATTGAAGCCAGAGGTTTGACGTTCGCGCGTGAGACCGATTGGTCCTGGGTTCGAATATCACGAAGCGAGTTCATGAATGTGCACTGCTGAGGAGTCCCATACTAGGATGAAACGACCTTCTGGTGCTTCCAGATTTTCCATGTTGGTCTAGCTTCAGTTGACTCAATAATTCAACTACTAAATTACTACAATCTCCACTAAACTTTTCTCTGATCAGAAAGATTTTTACTAATCAATCAAACAAAATGCATCAAAGATGAAATCAGTAAGAAATAGTTATTATTGTCTGTCTTTTTTTTATTAAAAATAAACAAACAATGAATTGTCCTGATAGATAAGAATGAAAAATAAGTCTTCAGAAGTTTATGATTGTTCCTCTTTTCTCATTGTCATAATTTATTGCAAAATAAGATAAATGGTTTGTTATACACTAACTAAACTAATGAATGAATTACATTATACATTGTACTTTATATAAGTTGAACAGGGAATTCAACGCAAACTATATCTTCATTTGAACTATCTTGTAATTCCCATCTGATGGTTAAAGATATCTGAAAAGAAGAGGAAAACTTAAGATTAAGAAATCATTAAATTGCTGTCTATTAGCTGATATCATTAGAAATGCAAACTATGTTTTTACTATGTACGAACAAAGCAACGAAGCTGTAAATTCGGATACCTAATAAGTTTATAGTACCACTGCTCGTGTTTTAATCAAATATATGACTGAATTCTATACAATTAATCCCCTTTATGGATCTATATAAGAGGAGAATGACAATTTCGTGGTTTCTCATTAGCTGATTGTATTGTGGTGTACGCTACTTATGCTGACAGATATAAGTAGTACTTAACAGCAATTGGAATTGGAATGCTTGCCAGAATAATGTTGGATTGAAAAGAACAGGGAGGGAAACATAGTGTAACTGAAATAATAACAGAATTGGAAGAATCATGAAATATGTAAAGGACAGTTAAAGCAAAGTTAACAGTTATGGTTTATAACGCAGTTTAACCTTGGTGTGACCCGTCTTTATTGAATTATCAATATTGAAAGTATATTTCTTTTATAAGCGTGACTATTTCACATTATTTAATTTGTTTTACCCCTTTCTCACTGTTCGGTTGTATATTCATTGTACTGATAGCGTAGTGGTAAATAAATCTCCAAAATCAATAGCTCTGTAAGTCTTCGACATTGGATGCTGACCACATTAGTTTTAACAGACTCACCTAGCTGAAGGAGCTCGGTCATGTATCCGCACCAGATCACCGTGCTCAACATCCCCTGCGATCGCTAGCCAGATTAGATCAGTCGATTCTCGATATACTGATAGCCTATCAAGTATATCTTCGAACCTCCTCTCTTCTATCTTTTGATTTCACTTGGTGGGTCAGTCCGTCAATCGGCTACAACGTAGGACCAGGCACATATATGCATCAGTCCAAGTTGCCATACCTCATTAACACAACAAGATGGACACCGGATTGATAAAAATAGTTAATTCACTTGTAGTAATATATAAAAGAAAGATTGCAATAAGGATATAGTACAGAAAGAAAGAATTAGTTTGTAGAAAGATATGAAGCGATTTTAATCTCTTAGTTTAAGGGAAGACAGAGAGTGTATACACCGACGCCATTGTGATCGATTCTGAGCCATGTCACCAAGAGTCTCTAACCATTGGTTACGATAGTCACACGGACCCCAACCAAGTAGTCTGCACCTCCCAACATGGCTCAGATTAGAAGTTAGTAACTTCAAGCACTGATGCCACGTTTTGGTTTGGCCGCCCCTAATTCTCTGCCAACCATCTCTAACACCGGTTAGCATTGCACATCACGGTAATCGGTGTTCAGGCATACGTAACACGTGGCCCAACCATCTCAGTCAATGAAGATTCACAACCTCATCAACTGATTTACCATCATTCCCTAAACCCTGCGTCTAACTTCACTATTACTTACCCGGTGATCCCAACAGACGCCAGCAATATTTCTAAGGCATCTGTGGTCAAATACTAGTAGCTTACGAGTGCCTTCTGCTCTTAATGGCCATGTTTCGCTGCCGTAAATTAAAACACTTGGTGGGTACGATTCATATTAGGTGTTAATGGTTAAAGCTTTGTCAAAACTCCAAATACCTGTGGCATCCTCAATAGTATAAAGGCTGTATTTCTGTAGCACATCGAGTTTCCAAAGACTGAGTTTCACCTATTTTAGTATAGCTACGCAAAGACTAGTTCAATAGTTTTGAGGAATTTATAGCAACTCATGTGCAATTGAGTTTGTTCATATTTAATTCGATCAAGTCATTTTGTTAACTTATTAACGAACTGAGTCATCCGTACAACAATAACTTATCTATATCATTGTATCTTTATTATTGTTGCGAATGTATGAACATGTATGCTTGAGCATTGCTATCGCCTGCGCATCTATTCACGCTGCCAGCCTTACCATTAACCGCTTAATTGATTCCATGATTCATACATCTCACTATGTATATATATGTCCATGTTACTCATGTTCATTGCTCTCTCTCGCTTAATTTTACTCGCTCACTCGTACTCATATTCGCTGACTCACTCGCTGGCCTTTCGGCACAACTCTTTCATGCTTGTTTAACGAATCTGTAATTTTGGATATCTGTGTGTGGCCTTCTCATTAATATACCGTTGTGGAGTTATCTAGTGACGGTTATCAAGACGAACTGTATACGAAGTTTAATGATTATATCGAATACCGACAACCACAAATTGTTCGTATGGCGAACTCTTAACCACAGGGATCCACAGTATTCCCATTTTTACGCATCGATTTCCTCCTATCAATAAAAGTTTCTTTAATTAACTTTTGGAGGGTCGATCTCCTACCAGGCTTATCAATTTAGAATACATAAATGACATAGTCCTGTTCGGTGACAAAATCCAGTCTCTTAAGACGCCTTGAACAGCAACACTAGCATGTTTGGAATGCGTTCCGTTCCCTATTAATCCAAAATGTTGCTTTAGGATTGGTCTAAGTCAATGCTTGAAATAGTGATAAGAAGTGAAGTAGTTAATTCCCGATCACTTCACTTATATTGTAAGTTTCGTCAGCCTCCGGTGGGTCGGTGTCTGATGAAATGTCGATACAGACTCAGAAAGTCCTGTTGGTGTTTGCCAACTTGGGTCACTTGTGGCGCAGGTGAGATGTCAATCTACCAACCAATGGGCGGGTAAACTGGTCAGAGATCCACTATTTCCTATCTGATAACTATGAAACATTACCTATAAAAGTAGAGAATATGCGTAGGCTCGAAAGTTTTGGTCGCAGATGTCTTCGAAACATTGTTCACCTTTTATGACATGACCAAGTAAGCAATGTTGAGGTTAGATATAGGGTACTTGCCGAAGGTGTCAAACAGGTAGATGACGTAGTGAATTTCCATCGACTGATTTGGTTGGGACATGTATCACGCAAGCTTAACCACCACTTACCTCGACGAGCACTTCTTGTTAGTGCTGGAGTAGGCAGGAAGAAAGAAACGGCTAAACCAAAACGTGGCATCAGTCAGCGAAATCACTGACTATTAGTCTAAACTATGTTGATAGACATAGACTACCTTGTTGGTTGATAACCCCAACTGTAATCACTGGCTAGAGACGTTGGATGACATGGCTCAGAACTATTTACAATGACATAGATGCATTCCACTCCTCATTTTCCTCTCGATCTTGAATTTCAGTATCCTTTCATATATACGTTTTCCCACTCTGTCCTTTTAAACCATATTCCTAAGGTTAAGTCCTTCTTTTTATGATTGCTACTACACTATTTTGGTCGCTTGTTATTCTCAGCACATTGTGCCAGTTACGTATGGCAATTTGGGCTAACGCACATTTGTGCCGAGCTATATGTTGACGATGTTTAAGATTTTTTCCTAAAAAGCATACTTGTAAGGGGAATAGTCTGCAAGAGTGATGAGACAAAAAGTTACATACGTAAAATTCGAAGCCAAATTCATATCAGTATATTAACTGGTGTACATACTACTGTAATGATGCAGAAGTAAAACGTTCTCTACGGATAACTAGCTTCCCTGGAGATTCCGTCTTTTTAAAAAAATTAAGGAAGGTATGAATAGTTGGCTCTAGAAATACGATACCCTTTATTGGTTTGTGGATTTTAAATACAGGGGGTTTGAAAAGTACAGAGGCGATTATAATCAAATAACTACTAAAATGCACTGAATATGACGGGACTTCAGTAATTGTTCTTTGATATCTATGACCATGCTCGGATCAAAACGATCATCAATACCGATCCAGTTATCCATTTTGCGCTCGTTAAGAATAAACGTCTATCCATGGTGTGGGTAACTGAGATGTGTGATCCATCACTACACTTTAAATCTCTTAAACAAGGTGAAATGGGTGAGACGGTTATCAAAACTATGGTTAAGTGGTTCAAACCCACCATCCCACTGTGTGTAGCTTATAATGCCAGCAAACAAATTCCTCGATAACGCTACATACATTTGTCAACCGACAATTTGGTGTATTACAAATGGTGAATCCTTAACTAATTACAATAGGTGTCCGCAGATGGAACACTGTTCTTAAATATGTGCATGTGATGCAAAGTAAACGATAAATTTGATTTAACTTACCGATGGATATGATGTGCTAACATACAAAGAATACGTGTGTGTATAGTTCTCTATAGATGGAATTAAAGGACACACTGGACTGACAAAGTTGCATAATTCTGAGTTATCAAGTGGAAATGGTACTGGTACATGTGCAATCACTCCATGTACAGAAATATGACCATCTTTTACAGTCTCTTCTGTAATTAAGAGAGAAATAGTAGTATAGTACAAAAGTGGTAAACTTGAATGTTTTTACTTTGGATGTATTCGGATTAGGTAAATTAATAAATTAGCCATTAAAGTGAACTGGTCACAAGTTTGAATTCAAAACATAACATCGTAATGATATAAAATGGATTTATTTATTAATCTGTGAAGTTGATAATTTATATTCTTCATTTGCAACTGCCATAATTGGTTTGAGGACTGTAGTCTTTAAGGTGGAATTGTGATACCTACTTGTCATGTTGTGTTATTCGATTGTTTTACTTATCCATACATTTATGAGATAATACTTGATAGTATTTCACTCATTTTCATATCCCCTAGACGTTCTAAGTATTTGTTACCCAAAGCAGTCATTGAGAATACAAGCGGGGGGAGGTCAATTTGTTATCCGAGTAAAAGTGATTCCGATATGATCCCTGCACTGTGCTGTTACTTATTAAACAAAAAAATGTAAGCTAAGAATGTTGTAAACTTACATATTGTAGTAGGGATCATAAATCTACGTACAAAATTTTTCTCACACTATATCCTACAAAAATCTTTCCAGGCATCGTTCACTTTCTCTTCATATTCAGATAATGCAAATTTTGTGAGTTTTCTTTCAAGGGATTAGTGATTTATATATGTTCACTGATATGATTGGTAAATGATACAGCTCGACCATATATGTAACATGCATCTATCCCTGAGGTGGTCGTGAATAAGAATGACATACATATTTTCATGTATTACAACACGAACACACTTCACAGTGAATAATTTAAACACGACTTTTGAATATGATTGGTCGATTGGTTGATACAGAGCTGTTTTATTGACCTTCGATAACTTTGAAGAAACTAGGACTAGAATGGCCAGTGTAGTATCGGCATTATTGTATTTGTAATCGCTGAAGTTTCATCTTTAAAATCAACTGTTATAATCTACGCTTAAGTTTGCTACAACTCTCCATATAGAGTTTGACATGAGTCGGAATGAACATCCTTTTTTTGGCTCATACTTTCAGTAGGCTTTCAATAATTTCCGTGCATATAAAGTGACCCAAGTTCAGAAATTGATTTATCCATCCAACCAGTTTCAGTTACTAGATAATCATTAGATCTATGTTGTGTACTCTAAAACAACCAACATATTAGTAGTGATACGAAATTGTTGAATGAAAGGCATTAAACATGTAATTAAATAACTTACGGGTACTGAATCCAATTGTAATAGTGGCGTTTCGACCTTTATATAACGCACATGGTATCCTGTCACATGGTGTTACAGTTAGTGAATGTAATTTTCCAACTTTAGATCCTAATACAGAAATATTAAACAATAATGGCGAAATAATCTCAAATAGTCAACAGGTCGACCATCTCTGATAAATTTGAAAGTGATGTTTAATGAAATAACCATTAAAAATTATTTCAGCGTATATGATCTATCCTACTGACTTGCTGTGTTTATGGGATGCTTTAATCCAATCTATATCCCACCAACAGAACGTACAGAGATTTCGAATGATATACACATGTGCCAGGTCCTACATTTTTATGACTGCTAGGATTAGGCAACCGTCTCATTTTATTTTGAGAATGTAGAGATCACTGATACATACTACAAAGGTCCCTTATTGTATTGTGAAAAAATTCCCTAGTAGCTGTAATGTTATCATAGATTTCTAAAATGATAAAAAGTAATGAAGTCTAGTAATCATCTTACATATTTAACTTTTTAAAGTAAAAAATTCAAATCTTTTACCAAGTACAGGTGTGTGTACTCGGGCACAATCTGTAATGTGGGTTTATAATAATACCTGGCTGACTTAACAGAACCTATTGATATTCAAATGACTAGCAATTGAACCTATCAATTCTAACGTCTAATAGGTTAGTTAACATAAAGTATACTTACAAACCAATCAACATAGAGGTGGTTATACGGTCACAGAAGTCAAGTCAGAAGTAGGATTTTCTGTACAAGCTTTTGAAGATCCAACATCGTAATTCTTAATGCAGGGAAAATACCCCGTTCATTTATATTTGTTGTTTTTCGCTGGGTTAGAAAGGGTTAAGTCCTCATGGTCATTCGGTAGTATAATGTAGAAGATAATTTCTCTATATTTGACTCCAATATATAATATCCCGTTAAATTAGTATTTACGCAAGCCAAATCTCCTACTAGTATTATGAATTTACTCGAGATTATTCAAAAGCCAGAACACCAGTTGTAAGGATAGTGTGTTGTTAATAATTGATAAAGTCCGCAAGCATGCAGAAAGAAAGCATACAGCAAAAAGTATGTTGAAGAATTCATATATATTTTGAGTGTTGATCGATTGTGGGTAAATTTTTGATTGTCTGTGTTTACAACCAATGAGAGGATAAAGATTGATGCGTTCAATGAGATTCATACATAATCTTGTATAGTGGGTCAAACGTCCAAATTACAGCAATTAGACAAATAATAAAAATTATTCTATGGGCTTACTGTAATAGTTTATGTCACCGAATCAAAATGTATTAGCACATTGGCGTTTCTAACTAAATTCAATTGTAGGTAAATAGTCTTTAAAAACATTAGTTCGCCCTTAATTCGAATTACAAAATACAAAACTTCTAAGTGTGACCACTGTTTTCTCTCTCACTTGAGTGGAGGTCAATTCGTTGGCACTAGAGTACACACTGAACAGTCTTAACATTTTATAGCTGGTACAAATCCGATTACTCTTTATCACAATATATTCTACAGTGTTGGCAGCATTTAAACGAATAAACTAATGTAAGTGATCTAATCATTATTTATAATTTTCGGCTACACTATATTCTCGTTAAGTGTAAAAGCATTTTTGGGGGAAATTAAAGCTATACTTCTACGGTACAAACCAGTCATACACTTACCACAATCCCTATATGGTTCAGAATGTACAAGGCAAACCAACAACAAGGAAACGAACCACAAAGCAACCATAAGGTATTAGATCTATACATCCAGTCAAATAACGCATTGTTATATATAGGATTAAACTAGAAGGCCAATTTTAAATAAACCAATCAGAAGGCAGAAACGCCTACGGTACTTGAAAACCAATAAGAATACGGTGTATTCCACTTGCGAAAACATAGGTAGGTCAGGTGATGGACTTGGATAAACATGATTGGTTACTGTCATATATTACATATTCAGCTTGTGGTTGGTAAAATTGGTTTGATATGCTGAAATGTGTTAGTCGAACAACTTAGTCGTGCGAAGAATATGACCTGGAAACAAATTATACGACCGAAGCTAAGTAGTTACAAAATGGTCAAGGTGATGTTAACAAAATAGTCACGAACAGAACACTTTTAAACCAAAACGATGACTTAAAGTAAATTAGTCCCTTTGATAACTTTTGATAATGTAATAAGAAGATGAAGATTATCTGAACTATGTGATGATATATTATTGTAATACATTTCGAGCAATCTGATCACACATAGTACACTTGTTAAGAACATTTATATATAAAAATAAAAGGTCATTTAGACTGGAAATGGGGAAAGGGAGGACAAGGTTAATAATAAGAGTAATAATAATAATTTGAACACACTTTGAAACTTAATCACTCTGGATAATAAGTCAATATTACCGGGATAAATAAGAGGTGAGAATTGACAGAAAGATTACGAGTGTGGTAGTAATGGCATGGCTAATAAAAGTAAAATGATAACATTTATATTATTATGATACAAAGTATATGAATAATCTGTCTAAATATATAAATAATGAAGGATAAATAAAAAGTAGATAAGCAACTGTTTTTATTAAATGGGAAGAATTAGATCGTGATTTGGCTTTTGGAACGAAGGGTTTTAATTCAGAGTCCTATGTAAATATTAACACGAGTTCAGGGACATCCAAATAACCAGTTTCAGATAGGATGAAACACGCAACCTGGATTCTATTACCAAACTACCTAGAAATTAGTATGATTTTCCGTTAAAATTTCTCAGATCAAGAAAGAACAGGGCAATCGCTAGCTTGTTTTGAACAGAAGAAGTTTTGATGAAAATGGCTAAGAAAAATACTGTAAAGCATTTAGTTATGTCCTTATTCATTAAAATGATTTAATTTTTTTCATTTCTGTGATCTATTCTTAGACAAATGTGATTTTCACGTCCCACTTGATCATATTAGTGATAAGTAATGAGAATATACAAAACCAAATAGGTAACTTTGCAATTTTAGTAATTAAATGAGCATGAATTATTTAATAATGAATAATTTATTGTATAGCTGCTCATGATTTTACAACAGACTCAAAGAAAGTGTAACAATCCTGTTCCACTGAAGTACACATACCAACAACCTTGTTATGAATAGGTTAACATTAATTGCACGGCCATAATTGGAAGAAAATGCGCTCTATCGTCAAGTTCTGACATTTTATATCAACCAATTATAACGAACTTAAAACTAGCTATTTCATTGAACGAAACAGAATGAAAATTTTTGATTGAAATCATGAGTCAATTGAAACTAGACCACCATGGAAAACCTGGAAGCACTGGACGGCCGTTTCATCCTAGTATGGGACTCCTCAGCAGTGGATTGGTTGAGGTTAGACATTAACACCATTGTATGCTGGCTCAGTAGTCTAGTTGGTTAAGCGCCTGGCGCGAAACTGATAGGTTCTGGGTTCGAATCCTGTGGGGTGCGGGATCGTGGATGCGCACTGCTGAGGAGTCCCATACTAGGACGAAACGGCCGTCCAGTGCTTCCAGGTTTCCCATGGTGGTCTAGCTACAGTTGTCTCATGATTTCAATCAAAAACTTAACAATCTCCACAACCCCTAAACTGATAGAATGAAAATTATTGGAAGATGGGGATGAAAAAACGTTCACTCGAAAAAAATTTTAATAAATGGCCGTGCAATTAATGTTAACCCTATGAATGGATAAAAAACGCATTTAATAAGTATCCCTACTCAAAAGAGTGATCAGTTGTTTATATTCTCATTGACGTATAAATGTTTGGATTTCATTCGTTTACCTTTATTTGTCGTCTTATTGGTTCTAAATGATCATAGTTAATAAATAGTGTCTTACATTATAAACTCGTGTGCTTACTCGATCACACATGTTTGTTCAAATACATATTGACTCTCTTCCTTTTACTGATTTATTTGATATATCCTGGACCCGTTACTCCAATAAGTTTAAAAGAAATCTCTTCCAAGCTAATTGTATACTTGATTTTTAGATATTTTATGTGAAAATAAATGTAATTATGCTCCTGGGATTCAACTTATATATATATATATATATAAACTGCCATTCATAGTCGGAATCAGAAAGAATAGTTTACAACAGAATAAGTTTGTTCAAAAGTTATTGACTCTCATGGAAGTGCAAATGTGCTTCAAATAAAACATTCTAATTTATATGTTCAAATTCCGAAAGATTTACAGAATGAGATACCGGGAGGACTAATTAAATAGCCATGGAATCGGGGATATATAGCTTGGGGGTTCTCGGAATCAGTAAAACCCACTGGACTCAAATTGGACAGAAAAGATTAGATTTTGGACAGATGTTGGTGTACTCTGATCATGAAGAATAAAATGACCCACACACTCAAAGAGTTGATCTTATACTTTCCGAAGAAGCACAAAATGCACTTTAGGATAGGAACTTCTTGGATTAAGAATCACCAAAGCATCATTCAAAACAAAGAAGGAGGGAATCACAATGAATTTTATCCAGTGCTATGCACCTACCAATGATAACAATGATGACACTAAAGACCAGTTTCACGAGATGCTTCAGTTGATCGCAGAGAAGTGTCCAGGAAAGGACCTGAACATCCTGATGGAGACCTAAACGCCAAAGTCGAAATGGAGCATGAAGACAACATGGGACGACATGGAAGGAACGAGAATGGCCAATCTATTTGCATTTAAAAAATTTGTTATAGGCGGCATTGTATTGCCCAAAAAAACACTAAAGAACACATTACTTCAGGAAATTAAGGTATATGTCAAAAGAATAGATAGCATTTGAGAATACCTGGAAAGGACTGTCCAGGACAGAGTTGGTTGGCACAATACTCCCTTACAAACACATACACAAAGCTACATGGGTCTCACCGGACCAAAACAAATAGAACCAGATAGATCATATCTGCTTCAGTAAAAAATTCAGAAGGACATCACCACTTGGTTGTGGCTAAGATGAAAGTGAAGCTAAAGAAGGATTGGACAGCTGAAGAAACGGCATTACAAAGGCCCAATACAACCTTCCCACGAGATATTAACAAACTCAACGAATTCAAGATAACTCTCAACAACATTTTCCTCATCTTACAACATCTTTTCAAAGAATATGAAATTACTATTGAGGATAACTAGAAAGGGATCAAAGTAGCACTAATTTAAACGTGTCAGGAGGTTCCGGGTCACAACAAGCATCATCATAAAGAATAGATCTCTATTGAGACTCTGGACAAGATTCGAAAAAGGGAGAACAAGAAAACAGCAATTAACAACAGTCGAACAAGAACAAAGAAAGTCAAGGCACAAGCTGAATACATAGAAGCAAACAAGCAAGTGAGGGGAGCATCAGAGCTGACAAGCAGAAATATGTAGAAGGTTTAGCAATGACAGCATGAAAGCTTCAAGAGAATGAAATAAGAAACAACTATATGACACGATGAAGAAACTGGCAAGGAAATATAGTAAACCGGAGTGAATGATCAAGAAGGTAATCCAATCACTGAGATTCAAGATCAAAGAAACATCTAGGTAGAATAATTAGAAGAACTCTTGAATAGATCGGCTCCATTGAATCAACCGGACATCAAAGCAACACTTGCAGACCTTCCTATAGACGTCATTCCACCAACAATCGAAGAAATCAGGATGGCCGGTCATCAGACAAATCAAGAGTGGGATAGTTGTACCAATCAAATCACGACACTACAGATCATTGGTGAACAATCGACCGAGTGAACTCATCACTATACATCCACATCCTTAATAGTGTGGATAGGTGAACCTTATGGAACTTTCTTCGACACTATGGTGTACTTTAGAAGGTCATCAACATCATGAACAATGTGTACGACGGACTACGCTGAAAAGTCATATATAGAAGACAGACGACAGTTACATCCCAAGTGAGAAACGTTATCAGACGATTGAAAGCTTGGATGTTGCTAGACAATTTGAACTTCGCAGATCACCTAGCTCTTCTATCACACACACACACACACACCAGGAAATGCAGGTGATGACAACTAGTGTAGCAGCAGCCTCTGCATCACTAAGCCTCAACATACATAAGGCAAGAGCCAAGATCCTCAAATACAACACGGAGAACATCAACTCAATCACACTTGATGGAGAAACTCTGGGAGATGTGGGATGTTCCAGATATCTGGACAGCAGCATCATTGATGAACAAGAAGCATCCTATGCAGACGTAAAGGCGAGGGTTGGCAAGACAAGATAGTTCTACTGTACTGGGCTGAAACTTGGAAAGCCACCAAAACCATCATCAAAGATGTACAAGTATTTATAAATGATTATCTACACAATATACTCAATGTTGATTGACCTGATACTATCAGCGACAACCCACTGTGTGAGAGGACAGACCGGCTTCCAATTGAAGAGGAAATTAGGAAAAGACTCTGGAAGGTGGATAAGAGATACATTGTTGACACCATCAAACTGCATCACGAAGTATTCACTAACTTGGAATCATGAATGGAAACTGAGAAGAGGAATAAGTAAGAACACATTACGTTGGGAATTCTAAGCAGATATGGAAAGAATGAATAGCAACTGGAAAGGATTATCAAGGACAGAGTTGTCTGGAAAATGCTTGTGGTCGGCCTCATCCACGATGGGTAACACATATTTTAGTTAATAAGTAACGTAATGTTATAACTAAAGCTGTTTCAATCATCGAACATTTCGTAGTTTTAAATACATTATGATGATTAT